TGGCACCAGAATGACTTCATTTTCCAATATGGGACCTGTCCATCCATTGTAGGGGGCAGCATTGATCGCCAAGAAGGAAACTGATCGCAAGGAGACAAATGCAGGAGTTTGGAAGCATGAAATACAGGGTATGTGTGGAGATGAGGAGGCACATATATCACATAGGATGGGCCATCCTTCTGGCATGAACTCAGATGACTTTCTTTTTTTTTCTTCGATTTGGACCATTTCTTGATTTATGCGTGTCATCCTTGCACAGGGGCCATGCTAATCTTCTCTGTATTGTTCTCAGATGACTTATTCCATGTTCTTTCACCCATCAGGAATATCAGCATCCGTGTATGCAACAGCATACTCGAAGCTTCCAGGGGCTGAAGTACACTTCGAACCCTAGCCCGTTGTGGCTTTTATATTCTACTGTATTCTGTTACATTATCTCATACCCAAGGTGCTGCAGTAGACTTAGGATCTGGAAACAGGAAATCCAAGGGCATACTGGATTTCCAACCTGTCTGCAACCAATTACAAGTGTGGCTAGTGGCTGAATGGACAACAATGTCGGCTTAATGTGCCAATCACTTGATCAGTAGTCATACACTGCTGCAGAACTTGCTGTACAAGTTTGTTCATTTGTCCAGCTCTATCATGCGTCCTTGGTCCAGGACAATTGCCTGAGGTCATCGTTAGTTTAGAACCCAGCCTTTTAGCAAGATCCTGCCGCAGTTCACTGGTGAACAGCACATCTCTATCACTTACAACTCGTGCAGTCCAAAGCCATTTGCCCAGTGATTCGCAAATCCAGCTATGACTAATTCAGCCCTGGCTGTTACCAGCAGCGATAAACACGCAAATTAGGAAAAACGTTAACAAGTAATAACAACTACAAAAATCTGATTATTTCCTTTCCTGCTGGCCACGAGAGTGTCCATGAAATCCACGGCTAGAGACTCACGAGATCCATCAGGAATAGGAAGCGGCGTCATTAAGCTGAGGGGAACTTTTGTGCGAGGCTTGTCTGTTTGATAAACCTGGCAACTATCTCAACGTACAATTGTGCATCCCTTTTGCCACCAGAAACACTGCAACAGATCAGCAGCGCATTCTACTAAGAACAAGCTCCTCAGAGATTCACTGTTGGACACACAGCGTCTTTCTTTCCCATCTTCACTCATAGCAAATCTTCCACCACTATGTACCCATCACACACCTTTCTATCCTGCGTAGTGGGTCATCCACTGATTTCCTTAAAAATGCTGTCTTCCTGGTAGTGCAAGGAACATGAATGTGGACGAAGCACAGAAATCCAGATTGCAAAATCACACTGAAGTCCAAGTAGTCAAAGCAAGAGCAGATACCACAATTGAACCGAGTAACCATCCATTTGAGAACTATACAGAAGAATCATGAGTCAATGTCCAAGCCCAATCGGGCAACACCAACAGCATAACCCAATGTAGCTCTCTCTCTTGAATGGCGCCAGGCGCCCTACCTACTCTACAGCCTATTACTACAACTACAGCATGGCAGCAACCAGACAACTTGACGACCAGCGAGTGATGATGTCAACACGAATGCCGACCTCCTCTCCACCAGGTACGTCCCAATCTTCACCCTCACTCTCCCTTGTTATCCCACATAGCGCCCTTCACCTCCGAAGAACCACCTTCGCCCTTCACCTCCTCTGCGCCCACAGGCAGCCCGGCTATGGCTGCCAGCGCCCTGCGCCCAGGCAGCACTCTACCGCTTAGCGCAGCCTGCCTCTACCTCAGCCTAGCGCAGCGCCTCGCATTAGCGCAGCGTGCCGGCATTGCCCGCAATGGCCAAGATCCCTGCCCACTCGCCCTCTCTGCCTATATGCCAGTGTTGCGTGTGGGCGGCCTCCCTTGAGCCTGCGCCTGGGCCCCAGTACCTGCACCCAGGCCCAATGTGGTTGGGGCCCACGCAGTACAGTTGTGCCTCTTTCATCCAGGCCTGCATCCAGATTCAGATAGTGGACCGGTATCCCTTTGGCATTTTCGGCCTCTATTTCCAGTATGCAACGTCGGCCTCACGTTTATGTGCCCAGGTCCTAACCAATTCTGGGGCCCTGGGATTTCTGCATTTGCAGAGCTTCGATACTCGGTGCACTCCAACCAACTGGCGTGCTGCAACTGTATGGACCCCACTTCGTGAAATGTTTGCACAGAGGGCTCTTGTTGATTTGCTGGCCTGCCTTCACTTAGGGCGGGCACGAGGCTTGCTGGGGCCTTAGCCCAGAACATGTACATCATGGCAAGGCCCCTTCTTGAGGGCTCAATCCTCACAGTAGGAATCTACCACCTGCTGACATATATACCGTTCTAACCCCAACTCAGTAACCGGTGCACCTGAGAAACCTGCTCAGCTTGAGAATGCATCAACTACCACATTATACTGTCCTTTTACGTGCTTAAGTCTCAAGTCATAAATATCTATGACCTGCATCCATCTCTTGAATGCATCAGGCAAGGGTACGCTGTGGCTTTATCCACCGGTGAGTAAACCTGCTCAGCTTGAGAATGCATCAACTACCACATTATACTGTCCTTTTACATGCTTAAGTGTGAAGTCATAAATATCTATGACCTGCATCCATCTTTTGGATGCATCAGGCAAGTGTACACTGTGGATTTATCCACTGGTGTGTCTCCTGGTCAATCCCGACTTCAAAATGTCCACCATGGAGATAGTCTGATAGTGTATCCACCATTTTAATGCCATGTAGAGTGCATCCAACTCCTTCTCGTAGGTTGAGTGTTCCAGCTTTTGAGATGGCATCGTTTTAGACATATATTTGATATCAGTGTCAACTTTTCCCCCTCTACGTGCTGTAATACTGCGCCTATCCAATACTGACTGCCATCAGTAGTAACGACAAATGGCTTATTGGGATCTGCAATCTTTAGGACAGCCTGTTGTCAGTCTTCAGTTTCTTGAATGCCCACTCACATTTACTCAAGTCCCAAAGGCTGTCAGAGGGCAGCTATACAGCTGTAATTCTGAACGAAGGACGTCTAGCATCCAGCAGTCCCCAAGAAAGATCATACCTCAGTCACAGACCGAGGCCGTAGTCAGTCTCAAATGGCCGCTGCCGTGGCATCCTCTGACCTCAATCCATCCTCAGAGATATCATGACCCAAATATAAGATCTTAGTACAACCAAACTCACTTTTCTCTACATGAATCTTGTGCTCGTGTTTCTGGAGTCTAGTATAATAAATTACAGAATTCCAAATTGCGACATCACATTGAAAGCGAGATAGTCATGAGCTTTCCAGAAGCAGATATGCACCGAAATCACACCAATGGAGAACCTAAGCAACGAACTCGATTGTCAATGAAAGCCCTTTCTCGCCACCATCAACAATGCATCCGAGGTCTTCCCTCCTACTGGCGCTCAACGCCCAGGCTACGATTGTACAGCTCCTATAGTAGCCTATCCTAATGTTGAAGCAACCAGATGAAGTCAGTAGCAGCAACCAAATTACGTGCAGATGTCGCCCGTGCAGACCCCCACGACGACCAGGTAGTGATCTCACATCCCTCTCCCACTCTCTCTCTCGCTGCTCACTCTCATCAGACCGAAAGGACAAAGCAGCAAAGTGTGCGTACTCTTCTCCGGGTGCGTTGGCATCGTGACACCCTTTCCCACCAGCATGCTCCCCAGGAAGAATGTCGACTCTCGGGGTAGAGCACTCACGACACCTCACGATGAGAGGACTCTCAAGACCAAACTCACTTCCTGACAATAAGAAGCAACGAAGAGGGTAGATGTTGCATACTTGTGAGTACTTCAACAAGTATGGGCAGAACCAAGAGATCAACCAATATAGGATGAGCATGTATGCAGCGGAAGTCTGATAAATGGACTGACTCACATAGACTGACTCACACAGATATCGCTCCACACACAAACAATCGTGAGATGGGGTCTGAGCCAATCATAGACGATGCTCAGGACCCGTACACACATACACAGATGAAAGGTGGGAGGAGAGACGAAGGAGGTGGGAGATGTAGGTAGCGCCAGATGTCACCGAGATAGAATCCAGTAGGTCACCGATATGGTAGTCCAAAATGTCATCGAACAAGATCAAAATGTTGTGGACGATAAGTCACCAATGTCGGAGGTACAGACTCCTAATGTAACCGGTGTCCAATCTGTGATGCTGCCGAGTATCAACCCCAACAATCTCCAAGTCTCGAATCCGGTAAGTACCACAGTCTCTTACCACCGAAGTCCAACACTGATCTCTGTCCAACTAGTATCAAGTCTCCAATCTGAAGAAGGAAAAGAAGAAGTCTGAAGAAGAAGAAGAAGATGTCTGAAGAAGAAGAAGAAGAAGAAGTCTGAAGAAGAAGGAGAAGGGATGGCAGAGGAGGAGGAGGTGAGGAGGAGAGAGCCGGGGGCCGTGGAGGGAGGAGAAGACTCCCTCGCCTCCTGGTACCTGGTGGTGCTGCAGTCCAACTGCAGGTCGCGGCTATGGTCGCTGTACTGCTGAGGGCTGCTGCCTAGCTCCTTGCTCGCCGCTGCTGCTGCAGCTGCTCCGCTCCTGCGCTAAGAATAGCGCTCTGCCTCAACCGATACGCACTGGCGCTGATGCAGCATGCCAGTGGCTCGATGCCTCAGAATGAGGCTGGACCGGTATAAGTACCGGTGAAAACGAGGCCAGCCTCAATGCTGCGAGGCCTGGCCGTGACCTGAACCGTCAAGATCGACGGTTCAGATCAGACCGGCGGGCGGCAGCCTCAAAAGCATCGCCAGGCCCAAACGGTAATGTCGTTTGGGCCTGCGCGTCGGGTCTGGTCCAAAACTGTGGCCTTTACGGCCTGCTGTACCCCAAGTCCGGGCCTTTAGGCCCTACTGTGTCCCTCTGGCCCTAAGTCGGGTCCGGTAGGACCCGTGTGGCGTCGAAGATGTAACACACTCCCCCTCTTAAAAGACCGAGCTACCTGCGAGGGCGTAGTTGTCTGTCTGATACCGGGGTGGGTCGGGCGGGACGAGCTGCTTCCTTGGCAAGGCATCGCTTCTCATAGTCGGCGAAGATAAGGGGTGCAGAAGTCCGCAAATCTGCACTAGAGATCCACCGAGTGTCGTCAGGCGCACATTGCTTGAATGTGACTTTGAACTGCATTGGCTTGTTGCCATACTTGCGGTGCGTGATGACTCGGTCAACTTCCTGATGTCCGTCCATAGAAGGCGGATCCTGTGATCGTCGGCAGGGGAACTCGTCAGCGGAAGGTGGCGTGTAGATGGCCAGCTTCGACGCGTGGAAGACCCGGTGCACTGGAAGGTGCGGTGGAATGTTGACCACAAAGGAAGGACCTGCGGGGTCGTCTCCAACGGCAGAAGTAACTTCCCATGGTCCGAACCATTTGGGATGGAGTTTGCGCGAAACATCCTGCTTGAGCGCAAATTCCTCGGAGAGGACCCAAACAAGGTCTCCCTCGCGGAAAGGACATGGAAGTCGACGTCGGTTAGCTTGCTGCTGCATGCGGATTTGAGCCTTTTGCATATTCGCACGGGCTTTGATCAACAAGTCCCGGTACTTCCGAACGGAAGCGGGAGAGCAAGGGACATCTATGTCGGCGGCCTGTGGCAGAAGGAGATCAGCGAAGATCCGTGCTTTCTCTCCACCATGATGTAGCTCGAATGGTGTGACGCAGATCGCCGGGTGCACCGAAGTGTTATAGGCAAATTCAATGTCGGGAGGTCGGTCGACCCAATCTTTCTGGTCGGGACGGATAGGCGTACGCAACATCATCTGAGCCGTCTGGTGTGCTCGCTCCGTCTGGCCATCTGTCTGCGGGTGCCGAGCCGAGCTCGGCTTCATTGTCGTGGCGGACTCAGCCATAAGGGAAGTCCAAAAGGCTGACATGAAGCGAGTATCTCGGTCGCTCACTATGTCTTCCGGAACACCCTGGTTGGTAATCCAACCGGTGTGCAAGMGTCGTGTGAGCTCAGGTGCTGCAGCATGATACTTGCAAGGAAGAAAGCGAGCATACTTGCTCAAACGGTCAACGACCGTGAGAATACGGTCATGGCCGAGGCGATCGCGGGGGAACGGGCCTGTCACGTCCATAGCAATGGAGAGGCGCGGTGCCCGAGGAATCGACAACGGTTTCAGTTCGCCGAAGGGTACTCGAGATCGACGGTTGTTACGGTGGCAAACTGCACATGACTAAATGTACCTCGTGACGTCGTGAAGGACGTCGGGCCAGTGAAAACACTGGCGGAGGCGTGCTAATGTGCGGTTTACGCCAAGGTGTGCCGAAAGTCGTGCGTCGTGGAATTCGCCGAGAAGACGAGTCCGTAAGATGCGATCTTGGGGCACAACTAGCAAGTCCTTTCCTCTCGTGTGAAAGAGAAGGAACCCGTCCGAGATCCGATAATGGCTAGCCGGCGGGTGATCCGATGAAAGCTCCGCGTAAAGCGTAGAGTAAGTCGGATCGGACTTGTAGCCTTTGACGAAATGCGGCTGCAAATCGTCATCGAGGTCGAATGCCGTGGTCACAATGGCACAAAAAAACGAGCCGTCGTGAGAGGGTGTCCGCAGCTCGATTGGCGGGACCGGGAATGTGGCACGGGTCAAAGTCGAACTGGTCGATGTAATACATCCATCGACCAATTGTGCTAGTGACCGTATCCTGCGTTTTATAAAAGGTCAACGGATTGTTGTCCGTATTCCATTTAAAACGCCGACGGCCGAGAAGAAAGTGGCGCCACCGTTTGAGAACGGTGACGAACGCGAGTAGCTCTTTCTTCCTAGCGTCGTCGAGAGTGTTGACGAGAGGCACCTTCTGGGAGAAATACTCGACCGGATGCCAACCGTCCTCGTGACACTGTTCCAACACCACACCAATACCTTATCCCGAAGCGTCCGTAGTCACTTGGGTGGGAAGCGTGGGGTCGTATATACGGAGGGCAGGTGCAGCTTGCATCGCTGCCTTCAACGTAGTGAACGCGCCACGGGCTGCGTCGTCGAACTCGAAGGGCACCTTCGGGGACYGAAGTYTYGACAAAGGAGCGGCCACTTTCGAGTATGACTCGACGAATCGCTGATAATATCCAGCCAAACCCATGAAAGAGCGTACGTCCGTCGTGCAACGGGGTTCCGGCCAATCCACGATGGCTTGGATCTTGTCTGCTAAGGGACGAATGCCTTTCGGCGTGACATAGTGACCCAAGTACTCAAGCTCCTGCTTGGCGAATTCGCACTTGTCGAGATTCGCTTTGTACTTGGCCAGTCGCAAACGATCCAAAACAGCGCAAAGGTGTACGATGTGCTCGTCCAATGTCCTACAGTAAACCAAGATGTCATCGAGGTAGATGAGGACGCTGCGATCGAGCAAGTCGCGGGGGCATTGGTGAGGCCAAATGGCATGACAACCCACTCAAAGTGCCCGTACCGTGTCTTGAATGCGGTTTTGTACCGATCTTGAGGCTGGATTTCAATCTGGTGGTAACCCGACTTCAAATCCAACTTCAAAAGTACGTCGCGCCGCCTAACCGCTCAAGGAGATCATCAATCCGAGGGAGAGGGCCGGCGTTCTTTACGGTTTGTGCGTTAAGTTTGCCATGGTCGATGCATAACTGTAGATCTTTGTTCTTCTTCCGGACGAAGAGAACAGGGGCACCGTAAGGCGAACAACTAGGGCGAATCCAGCCCTTGTCGAGAAGGTCATCGAGTTGTGCGCGAAGCACCTCGAGTTCCTCTTCGCTCATGCGGTAGATACATCCACGCGGAGGGACGGCACCAGCCTCGAGAGTGATCCCGTGACGTATGGGCCGATCCGGAACCGTTCCGGTGGGAGCCTCGAAGACGTCTCCATACTCGTCCAATAGGTGAGAAATGCGTGGGTCCGGCGGTGACGCGGCTGGTCCGTCCGGCGAGGGGAGAGCATGCAAGAATACAAGGCCCATCTCCTCAACGTCATTTCGAGCTATGGCGTCGTGAATTCTCGCAACGGAAACCACGTGACAAGCAATCAAAGTGTGAGGGGTCGCGACCGTACATGGGACTAACACTCCGTTCCGATCACGGATGTGAACGGTCCGGTCGTGGAAGTTCACCGGATGATTGGCACTACGCAGCCAAGACATGCCTAGAATCATGTCGAACTTGGTGTAGAGGATGTCAAAAGACACCGGCTCGCACGCAAGTGACGCAAAGTATACCGGAACGTCGTCGACGCATCGGTCAATTGACTTTTGCGTGGGTTGCGTCTTCCTTCGGACGCGCGAACCAAGGCCTGCGCGGGCCATAAAGGCTTGGCTCATAGAGTTGCGAGACGCTCCGCACTACAGGTTGCCTTTCCGATTTGAATGCGGATATAGAGCAAAGGAGTGTCGGTTTCGGCGTACTTTTGGGTGGCGTACTCGCGGTCAATCTTCGCAAGATAGGAGCGGAAATCGACAACCGCTACCCCGTCGTCCGTCAACGGAGTTGATACTATAGTGTGCAAATAGGAGCATAGATTTGCCATCAAGGCGTTGCAATGTGGCCTTGGCAAGGTTCCAGTTGAGGGTAGAGGCATCCAAGCGAAGTCCTCTCTCGTGAGCGGGTCAAGCTCCTCAAGTCTTGACCACGCCGTGAAGTCCTCAGAAATCAGTGGCGAGCTGACCGGATCACTTGCCGACAGTGTACAGGCTGCGCATATGCAATCTAAGTGCACGTGGCTCGGATGGTCTAATGGTGGTACCAGCTGGGCGGCATAATCCTCGTACATAGCACGAGAATCAGCGACTAATGCATGCTCCCCGGTAGTGACATCGATTGCTAGCAAGGCAACCGGTTCCGGCGGAGTGAGGAGAGATGTCGCCTCTCTCCGTGCGCAACTCAGTTTCCCGTGTTCGCTGGACGGGGTACACGTGCCTTGCCCTTTTCGGGGCATTGTGCGGTCAAGTGAGTGACACCATTGCACCAAAGGCAATATCCGTACCGTTGACGAAAATCAAATACTTCCTTGGTTATGTTGAACGTCGTCCATGGTTGTTGCCCAGTTCCCGCCGATGTCGTCGCTTGTGTCGCCTTGTTCTTCTGAACTCTCTTGGGACGCTTCGGCGGGAGCGCTGCGACAGTTCCTCCATCACTCGAGGATGCTGCTGCAGCGTGGAGATTGACTGATTCTTCATAAATCACGACATTGTTATGTGTCGGTCGTTGATAGCCCTACTTTGCCACATAGTGCGGCTGGGACTGTCGTTCGTTAGCGGCCTTGTCATCCGTTTGGATGACCAGGTTCGCACGATCCAGAATGAGGCATAATCGTACTCGTTGCCGAGTGTCGTTCGCAGTCCTCCGCACGATCGCGAGAAGAACTCAGATCGTTGGTTTGGAAAACTCAAATCGAAACCTGGCGTGGTCACTATCTTCTGCCACTTGATCGTCCAGTCTCGAGTTGGCATGCTTCCTTGGGAGCTGGTGTACACCTCGTTCATGGCCGCCTTCACGACGTTGCGGACCATGAATTGAGTGAACCATAGCTGCTCGAACTCCTTCCACGTAATGTGCGTGTGGAGTTCGGCGATGGTGCATTGCTTGGTGGCCGCAAGATGGTTCATCCATGCCTGTGCTCCTCCAATCAGTTGTAGGTAGAGCGCCTTCATCATGTCTTCAGTCCGGACAGTGCAGCAGGATGCTTCCACGAGGAAGCCTTGCCACCATGTCAAGGCGTCCATCTTGTTGTAGTCGTCGAACTTGCTGATGTTGAAGTGCGGCATCTTGTAGTTCTTTGTAGCGGCGTCCGGTCTTGTCTGCAGCTTGGTGATGTCCGTCTTGATGGCGGCCACCGTGCTGCTGATCGTGTCCGGACCAGTGAAAGCACCTAGTTAGCCGATGAGATTGACGACATGGTCGATGCGCTCGTTGAGCTGCTTCGCGGTGTTTGTCGTGCAGCCTGGCGCTGCTTGGGAAGGCCTTGCCTCCAGAGCAGCAATGCGGGTGTCCATCTGTTTCAGCTGGGAGTCCGCGATCTTGACGGCTGCTGCAAGCGTCTTCACGTTATGGCTAAGATCGTGCTGCAGCTGCCGTGTAGAACTGGAATGAAGCTCCCCCATGGTGTTGTTCCAGATGACTGCTCGCATTGTGTTTAGTAGAATGTCTACCAGGTTTTGTCTCTCCTGTTGTACTGTCGTCGGCTCCGCACCGGCTACGGGGACATAACGCATCCCATTGAGTACCGCTGTCCACTGATCTTGTTGAGAGATCAGAAGCTCGGCACTGTCGGCGTTGAGCTTGTCGATCGCCAACTGCTCCGCCTCAACTTGTTGTTGGGCTTGGGCTGCAGCTTCTGCTGCCAGCCGCTGTTTGTCTGCTTCGGCAACATCTTGCCATTCCTTGGCAAGGGTTGGTGCGGCCGTATAGGTCTGCACTCGCTCAATGTAGTCCGCAATGGGCTCATTCGGCCCTTGAGCCGGACAGATCGGCAGTGGTTCGACATTGCTAGATGTCGAAGTCTCGGGTGATGTTCCGCTGTTAGGCGTGTTCGCGATCTGAGTGCTGGTCTATGGCTGCTGTCGAACTGCAAGTTGCTGTTGCTGTTGGCGATCTGCGATCCTCCTGCTGCGTCGTGGCTGCTGTTCGGTGGCTTGCCCTGCTGGCATCAGAGAACTGCTGCTGAAGGCTGGCTCGTCCGAATGGTCGCAGAATAGTGAGAGGGAGAGGGTGGGTACAGGGGTAGAACAGATCAGGCAATTCGCATACAGTCCCTGTCCCAATGATGGACTTAGACACCTAGTCAAACAGGAAAAAGATAAACTTTCCCAACACAACTTAAAAATTCGTAATAAGAAATAATAATGAATTAATAATCAATAACATTTGAATTAAATGATTAATAACGAATTAATATTGCTTAATAATCAATCAAACAATAAATGCAATAACGATAATTACCGAATTTTAAATTGTGACAAGATTAGGTATCCGTCGAGATCTCCTATGGTCCGGGAGTTCACCGTTGATGAGTGAACTACCCAGAAGTTGCAATTCTGAGGGAACGATTCCGAACAGTTTGCCAAAATTTTTTTTCGGAAAATCAGGGAGAAAAACGCTCGAATTTTCAAAAAACGTGAAATTTCAGGAATTTCAACCTACAAAATCCGATTTTTAACGGTCTGAGTCCATATTCGGAATTTCTCCAACTAGGGAAAGAAAAAAAAATTCGCGAAAATTTCGGATCCCAACCCTAATTTTCCGCGATTCCGCGGAATTTCCGGTTTAACGGTTCCAAAACCTTCGAATTTCCCAATTTGAACAGAAACCAAAATTTATTGTAACCCTAATTTCCAATACCGAAATAAAATGGAAATACCGATTTAGAAAAACGAAATACAGGATTTAAAACAGAATGCC